CTTAAAGATCGAGAATGGGGTTATATACAAGAGAATGTCCTTCAATCGGTTGGAAGATCAGCTCGAAGGCGGTTTGTGGAAACTTTTTGCTGACCGTTATGGTTATAGCGAAGCGTCAACGCATGGAGGAGTGGTAAAAAAGTTGTCCTGTCTGCGGCGGCAGTTTTATTGGCCTTGAAAGGCCAAAAACGTTTCTGGATTGGTCCAAAAATGCGTTGTATGCAAGGAGACGAAAGTTACCAATCACGGAATGCAGGTGGAAATCGGTGCCGAAGTTGTCACGAAAAGGCCGTTCCAGAAGTTATATATAGACTTCTTGGGCAAATATTTGCGATCAAGGAAGGAGCACGCATTTATTTTTATAGTGGTAGACCACTTCACCAAATTCACATTCCTAAAGGCGATGCGAGAGGTCACTGCACGGAGCGTCGTCGACTTCTTAGTGAAGGAAGTGTTCCAAACGTTCGGAGTACCAGAAGTCATACACTCCGACAATGGACGCCAGTTTTCGGGCATGATGGAGGGCTACAGGATAAAGGAACACCGGTGTATTCGCCGCAAAGCAACGCGTCCGAAAGGGTGAACCGTAGGATTCTGGCCGCTACATGTGCGTATCACCGTGCAGGATCACCGTGAGTGGGATCTCCACCTCCCAGAAATCGGTGGCAATCAGAAATAGCGTGCATTCTGCTACTGAGTAACGCCTTTCTCCACCTCCCAGAAATTGGTGGCAATCAGAAATAGCGTGTATTCTGCTACTGAGTAACGCCTTTCTGCGCACTGTTCGGCCGACATATGATGTTGCACGGCGAGGAAATTAAGGTCCTTGGGCGAGCACGAATTCGCGGCGTTGGGTGCAGCAAACAGGCAATGCCTGGTGCAAAAAAAGGCCAGGCACAATTACACGCGGCATATGATCGCAGTAGCCTTCGCTATAACCCGTGCGCGGATTCCTCGACTAGCGCCCGGTCAAGAGGTTTACTGGCGGAACGTCGTACTGAGCGACTTCAGCCGGGCGTTCAAAGCAAAATTCGCGCGGAAATTACAAACGCGTATGAGCTGGAGGATTTACAGGGGAATCCGCTGAGAGTATTCAACGCGAATGATATTCGAGCGTGACGCCGTAAGCACAATGTGAATGCGCCGACCGAGTGTTTAAATGCCTTTTGTTCCTTGGCATATAGATTTATCCGGTATATCGCCAAGGTACGTGGGCAAGGTGCGCAACAGCTGCAGCAGCTATCTTCAACGGCGCACCAGCAGCCACCATCATCGTGAGTGTCTAACCAACGGCAGCAGCAGCTGCAGCCACCATCGCCATCATCCCCAGTAGCCTACACCAGAATCGTAAACGGCAGCGCTAGCTGGAACATAGCAGTAGCAGCTGTACATTTTATAAACAAATCGAAAAAATGCAGCTACAAATATACGTTCAATAACTGAAAACAAATGGAACTGCGAAAAAGTAGACAAAAATAGTTGGCTGTTGCGCTTGGTGAAGATTAAAACGTCCGCTGCGTTCGGTGGCCACAAGAGAGGGAACAATGTTTATTTTTGGCAACATAAGACGCGATGCTTAGTCTGACAGCTAGATTGATACCGTTTTACATTAAATCACTCATTTGTACAGTGGCGCAAGATATGAGTGCATTGATTCCAATTAGACGACTTAAGCTCAACAATTCAATTCATTGGACCTTCAAAATACAGGAAGCTTGTGAATGGGACGTTTAAGTTTGCCCATGGCCGTTTTTACGGTTGCTACCCGAACTTGGCCATCTGCTCCTGTTGTAGCGCTGGTTGTGTTGTCCTCGTGGACGATTACCAGGGCGCCGACGTCTATGTCTACGCAGCTGCTACCTGCCCGTATACGTTAGCGGCCTGTCTGGCTTGTCTGGCTCGGACCCTTGCGGCACCGAACGAAGCGGCTGACCGTTCAGCAGATGACCCGAAGTAAGGGCGTCGCCGTCGTTGGGATCTGCGCCTAACGGAGTTAACGGTCGCGAGTTCAAGATTGCCTCTACGTCCGCCAACTTGCATCTGACCTCGCTCTCCACCAAGGACGCGTTTGCGATTAGGCGTATGAGGAGGTGTTTTGCCGACTTGACTGCCGCTTCCCATAGACCTTCGAAGTGAGGCGCTCGAGGTGGAATAAAGCACCATTCCATCCCTTGCTCGGCTTCAAACAACTGCAGACTGGACTGTTGCTTGCTGAACTCCGCCTGCAGCTCCTTCAGAAGGTTGTTTGTTCCCGCGAAGTTGGTCGCATTGTCCTAGTATAGGCGTTGAGGAACGCCCCGTCTCGCGATTAAACTTTTAAGGGTTAAAACAAACGAATTAGTTGATAGGTCAGCTATGAGTTCGAGATGAACGGCTTTTGAAGAATAGCACACAAACACTCCTTTATACATTTTGACTGGAGGTCGTCCTCTTATGGGACCGCTCAAGTCATCGCCGCAAACATAAAATGGTCACATAGCCAGAAGGCGGTCAGCTGGAAGATTTCCCATAATCTGCCTCAGAAGCTTAGGCTTATAACGATAGCAGTGAATGCACTTTCTAACAATTTGCGTGCATTCTTTTCGGGCATTAATAAGTCAGATTTGTTGCCGCAATAGAGCTATCATATTGTTAACGCCAGCGTGGCAGCTTTTTATGTGGAGCTTGTTGCATCGGCTAATTAGCGGCCGTGGTTTCTGGCCACGCCGGCATACATTTATCGCCTCAATCAACGGCTGGTAACTACCAGCGCCACCTTGCGGTATCGGCAAGTGACAGTGCCAGCTGTTGCGGCAGCAGGGCATGGTTGCTTGACATAGGAGTATGAGAAGGCTGCGAATTGGAAATGATAAACGGATGCAAAAAGGATTGGGAGTTGTCACGCGGTACAGGTAATGGAGCCGACACGGGAATCGACATTTTGCTGAAGATATTGGAAGAGTGCGGTTGTGCAGTGGGACTCGGCTTTCGTTTTTTTTGGTTCGGTTAACCTACAAATTGGTAAGAGAATAAGGTGTGTAGTTGTTGGAAGAATGACTATTTATTGAGGCATTATATACGTCTACAGAAATTGTAGACCCAGCAGCAGATGGTTGGCCGCTGGGTCTCTGGATGAACTCCGGCCTTAAAAACTACTTCACGCATCATCGTCAACGGCAGCCCATAAGCGGCCTATCCAGTGCAATTCCACTGACCAGCAGGTTTGACAGTAGCGTCGGCGTTGAAGGTGTTACGAAGAGGAGTAACGACTGAGTGAGTCCTTTCCAATACGAGCCCCTTGGTGCCGCCTCAGCAGCTGTCAAAACTGGTTAGTGTTGTAAAGAGAAAATAATTATGTTAAAAATGGACAAGACAATTCTGAAGGGAGCGCCTCGCGTCGGCTGGATGAAACCGCTCGCTTGCGACGTATTCATTGCCTGGTGGTGGAATGCGTAAGCCCCGGATGTAGTAGAGGGAATGGGCCCAAACCGCTCGCTTGCGACGTATTCATTGCCTGGTGGTGGAAGGCGTAAGCCCCGGATGTAGTAGAGGGAATGGGCCCATTTTTATTCATAGTTATTGACTTGTTGGTTTAGTTTGGTTATTTTTGGTTTTGTTTTCTTGATTTAATTTTAATTTAATTTTTTGCGAATAGTTAGTTGCAGTATTGATTTTGAGTGTGCTACTTGGCTGATTAGTCGTTGTCTGCGTTGGCATTGTGGTCCGTGTGCCCGGGAGGCTTTTAGTTGTTTCCGTGGCCCAGGCGACAGAAGTTGTCACCTGCGATGCACTGGCAATGGCACGGAGCATAATGTTTAGGGCAGATTAGGATAAATTTGTATCCAAAGAGGCATCTAGAAAGGTGAGGTCTCTTCACTGTCGTCCATCCAGATGAGGATGAAGGGAACAGTGGATAAAGATCTCGCGGTACATAAAAAATATGAATCTGGCAAATTATGTAAAGCGCAGAAAGGAGCAGCTGGTGGTTCCGGTCGGATAAATGATGAATTTCCTCCCCTCATTGAAATAGTAAAACGTTGGATTGTGTTTGAGTGTCATATTTGATTGCAGAATTTGTAGCGGTTTGCACCATTTTTTTTTGTTTGTTTGTTTTTTTGTAAGCTGAGTGCAGATATATTTATTTTGGTGTATAGTGCAAATTTGGTCATTTTCAGTTTTATATTTATATTTTTATATTTTGATTGATTGTTATATTTTTTCTAATTTAAACGTTTACATTACATACAGCATATACATATATTTTCTTTCGCATAATTAGTTTCTTTGGTCGTTGTGTACCAGCATATACAAGTATTATTTTCGTGGTTTTCATTGAATCCTTATATTACACAAAGTCATTCCAAGAATAAATATAGAAAGTATACAGATAATAAATAGCATAAAATGGAGCAGGATTCGCATCGCGAAGGGCGCTCGTATAATACGAGGGCGCAGGCAGCTCGAAAGGGTGGGCTGATAGAGCTCGATGAAGGCTCGGAAGCGGGTGTTGTGGCGGCACGGCCTGGCAGCCTGCTGCGAACACCACCCAGACAGCCTCTGAGGCAGGAGGAGCGACGTGATGGCACACCAGGGCGCGTTGATAGCGAAGTGGCGTCAGCAGTAAATGTTGCCATCTCACAGGCAAACCAAACTTATCGGCATGCGCAGGTGGACGGAGTAAGCCAGGTGTTGCAAGAAGAAATTCGGAAAGGCTTCCTGGAATTAATGCGGGCGGTTAACGAGGTATTGCTACCGGTCAGAACAGGCGTGGACTACGTACCTGAATTGCGCGCCGAGCAGACACCTGCTGTCTGATTATGGCAGCAGAGGAGCAGTCCCGAAAAGGCCTGAGCCAAGGCAGAGCGCAAGCAGGGCCCAAATACACGACGCCCCGAGTCGAAAGTACCGGCGGCCGAGCGACAACACGAGCAGCATTGACGGCAGAAACGAAGCGGCTTCGAGGAATTGGCGAAATCCGTGGAGCGCTCAGCGGTCGCGGCGCGTAGGTTTCCGTGGCCACAATGATGCGCTGCAGGCTGATCCACCCCCACCATACGTGCAAGGTAACGAAAGGTCGCCTTGGGGCCGAGTTGAAAAATGGGGCCTATCACTTGATGGCGACAGGCATAAAATGGCTGTGGAAGATTTTGTTTTTCGTGTGGAGTTTCTACAGCGGCAGTGCAGATGTTCCTGGGCTGAAGTTTTGAACAATTTCCATCTATTGGTGGGCGGCAACGCGAGAGAGTGGTACTGTCACTATGTGCGTGACCATAGGGCCGATAGCTGGCAGGAATTGAAGCATAGCCTGATCGCTCGGTTTAGAGGCGCTGCCGATGAGTTCCAGCGGATGCAGGAGTTGCGCGAGAGGCGACAGAAGGCCACAGAAAGCGTCGAGGACTTCTTTCACGCCATGAGGAAGCTAGCATCACGTTTGCAATCACCACCAAGCGAATCTGAAATGGTAAAAATAATTAAAAAGGGGCTGAAAGAAGAAGTGGCGCGGTATGTTTACGCACTTCGTGTGTATAGCGTGGACCATCTTCGCGGAGCGGATGCAACAATGGAGCGGCAAGAGGGAACGCCTGCATACCGCAGTGGCTTTAGGGCTGGTCCCAGTGGGCGAACCAGGCCCGTAGACGAGTTGGAGATAGATTTTGGAGGCCCTGATGCAGCAGAAGACGTAGCCGTGGAAGAGGCGCGAGTCACCAGGCGTGTACAGCTGCAGCTAAATTGCTGGAATTGTGGCCAAGCGGGGCATGGTTTCCGCGATTGCATGGCGCGAGAGCGGCGTATATTTTGTTAGCGCTGTGGCCGACCAGACACGTATAGTACGCAGTGTCCGAGCTGTACGGGAAACGGGCGGCGGAGGGCGAATCGCGCTCGGCACCTGCGATCACACCATCAGCGGGAAGTCGAAACTAGAACAGAGCGAAGATATTAATTCTAGGTATAAGGGTAGAATTAGGGGTTTGCCGATGGAGGAGCGGATGCGAGCGTACCTAGAGGCGCGAAACAGGATATTTCAACAGCACCAGGTCGCCGGAATGCGGATGCTCACCACCCGCTTTGTGAAGGCGAGGGCGCGGTTTAAGAAGAGGCGTCAAACGAAGTGACAAGTTGCGGAAGCAACTAGAGTGTTTGCCGAGGTCAAGGTGAAGGGCCGCTAGATACGAGGTCTGCTGGGCTTCGGTGAGCATTCTTGGTAAAAATAGTCGGCGATTGCTGCAGGAGCTGGATATACGCGTACAAAAGTATGTACTATGTACCTGGGAATCGATTTCTGGCGAATTTTTGAGTTGGCACCAGCGGTTATTCCTCCACGTGAAACTGGCATCGCTAAAAGCTGCGTAGATGAGATTTTGGCTGAGCGAGTTGCGCATTACGTCGATGACGAAGACCCGAAACCAGAGCCGGAAATGTGGGACCTGGAAGATTGGCAAAAGAAGATTGTAGAGTCAGTAAAGGAGGAGTTTCTGACATTTTAAAAGGCAGGATTGGGAAAGACCACAGCAGAGACCCATAGAATTGAGCTAGTTGATGGAACGCAGCCTGTAAAGGATAGACATTACCCATTGTCACCCGCGATGCAGGAGCTGGTGTGTCGGGAGGTTGATAATATGTTGGCCGTAGTGCGACGGCCGGTCAAGAACCGCTTTTGCCTCGATGCCCGAAAGCTCAACAAACTCACGGTTAAAGACGCGTATCCACTTATATTATCGGGGCTGGATCAAACTTTCTATATTTCCAGCGTCGATTTGAAGTTCTCATTCTGGCAAATTGAATTGGACGAATCCAGTGCCTGGGCGACCGCTGTACCAATTCCGAGTGATGCCATTTGGCCTGTGTAACGCGGCGCAGAGATTATGCCGGCTGATGGACAGGGTCATTCCCACAGAGCTCAGGTCAAACGTCAAGGTGTATTTGGATGACCTCGTCATATTCGCGGCGAACTTCGGGACACACATGGACTACCTGCGGAAAGTAGCGAAATGCTTAAGAGAGGCGAATTTGACCATTGGACTGTAGAAGTCCAAGTTCTGCTTTAAATCTTTAAAGTACCTCGGGTGTATTTTGGGAGGAGGCACATTGAGAACGGACCCAGAGCGAGTTTTCTAGCGTGGCCGCGCCGCTTACTGATGCACTGAAGAAACGAGCCGGAGGACGGTTCGCGTTGAATGATGAGGCCAGGGATTCATTCGAGGCCAGGGATTCATTCGAGGCCCTGAAGAGGTCGTTGATTACGGCGCCGGTACTCGTGCATGCCGAATTTTTCGTGCAGTGCGATGCGTCGCAGGCGGGCGTCGGAGCGGTGCTATTCCAGCTAGGCGACGAGCAGATTGAGAGACCAATAGCTTTCTTTTCGGCCAAGTTCAACACCAGAGCAACTATTCCGTGACGGAGAAGAAATGCCTAGCGGCGGTCCTGGCGGTGCAAAAGTTTCGGCCGTACATCGAACTCATGCTATTCACTGTCATAACAGACCACGCCAACCTAAAATGACTAATGTCGCTAAAGGACTTGTCCGGACGATTGGCGCGGTGGTCGTTATTGCTCCAGGGCTACAACTTCGAAATCCAGCTTCGTAAGGGGTCGGAAAACGTGGTGGCAGACACGTTGTCCAGAAGTTTGGGCGTAGAAGCGGTGGATGAACTGGCGCAAACTCCAGGTGAAATTTTGGGCATGGAAACGGCGGAATTTGAATCGGATGAATATCGAGAAATAAATAAATAAATAATTGAAAGAAATAAGCCTTGCTTACCGGATTTGCAGGTCGTGGACGGTATCATCTACAAGCGGACCGCATTCAACCGCCTGGAGGAACAGCTGGACGGAGTCGAGTGGAAGCTGTGGGTGCTAGACGCGCTGACGGGAGTCCTGATTACGAAAGCCTATTGCGAGGAAACAGCGGCACACGGAGGAGTTGCAAAGACGCTGGAAAATCTACGGCGGTACTTCTATTGGCCGAGAATGGCATGTCAAGTCGCTGATTTTGTGCGAGGATGCCAAGTCTGCAAAGAGACCAAGGCTGCAAATTTTAAAATGCAGGTCGGTATTGGTGCTGGGGTGGTGTCAGGGCGACCGTTCCAGAAATTGTACTTTGATTTCCTATTCATCGTCGTCGATCATTTCACAAAGTTTACCTTCTTGAAAGCGATGAGGAAGGCTACGTCTGGAAATGTGGTGGAGTTTCTGGTGAACAACGTCTTTCACACATTTGGAGTGCCAGAGGTGATCCATTCAGATAATGGGCGGCAATTTACTTCAGCGACGTTTGCGGAGATGATTGGTGCGTACAGGATCAAGAATCTGAAGACCCCGGTGTATTCGAAACAGGATATTTCAACAGCACCAGGTCGCCGGAATGCGGATGCTCACCACCCGCTTTGTGAAGGCGAGGGCGCGGTTTAAGAAGAGGCGTCAAACGAAGCGACAAGTTGCGGAAGCAACTAGAGTGTTTGCCGAGGTCAAGGTGAAGGGCCGCTAGATACGAGGTCTGCTGGGCTTCGGTGAGCATTCTTGGTAAAAATAGTCGGCGATTGCTGCAGGAGCTGGATATACGCGTACAAAAGTATGTACTATGTACCTGGGAATCGATTTCTGGCGAATTTTTGAGTTGGCACCAGCGGTTATTCCTCCACGTGAAACTGGCATCGCTAAAAGCTGCGTAGATGAGATTTTGGCTGAGCGAGTTGCGCATTACGTCGATGACGAAGACCCGAAACCAGAGCCGGAAATGTGGGACCTGGAAGATTGGCAAAAGAAGATTGTAGAGTCAGTAAAGGAGGAGTTTCTGACTCCCGCTGACGGGAGTCCTGATTACGAAAGCCTATTGCGAGGTAACAGCGGCACACGGAGGAGTTGCAAAGACGCTGGAAAATCTACGGCGGTACTTCTATTGGCCGAGAATGGCATGTCAAGTCGCTGATTTTGTGCGAGGATGCCAAGTCTGCAAAGAGACCAAGGCTGCAAATTTTAAAATGCAGGTCGGTATTGGTGCTGAGGTGGTGTCAGGGCGACCGTTCCAGAAATTGTACTTTGAATTCCTATTCATCGTCGTCGATCATTTCACAAAGTTTACCTTCTTGAAAGCGATGAGGAAGGCTACGTCTGGAAATGTGGTGGAGTTTCTGGTGAACAACGTCTTTCACACATTTGGAGTGCCAGAGGTGATCCATTCAGATAATGGGCGGCAATTTACTTCAGCGACGTTTGCGGAGATGATTGGTGCGTACGGGATCAAGAATCTGAAGACCCCGGTGTATTCGCCCCAGAGCAACGCCTCGGAACGGGTCAATCGCACTGTATTGGCAGCCATCAGAGCGTACCTAGAACAGGACCATAAGGAGTGGGATCTGCATTTGCCTGAGATCGAAGTGGCGATACGAAACAGCGTACACGCGGCAACAGGAGTGACACCCTCTTTGCACTCTTCGGGCAGCACATGATGTTGCATAGGTCCCAATATGACTTAGCGAGGAAACTGAAGTCGCTGGGCGACCACGTGATGACAGATATAAATAAAGCCGAAAGACAGAAACTCGTCCAGGAAAAGGTGCAGAAACAACTACACACCGCGTATGAGCGAAATAAAGCCCGCTTTGACCAACGAGCGCGTAAGTTCCATGCGGTTCCTGGTCAAGAAGTCTACCGCCGGAACTTCGTACTCAGCGACTTTAGCAAAGCATTTAACGCGAAGTTTGCCAGGAAGTTCCTGAAGTCGAGAGTGGTCCGAGCCGTGGGAAGCAACGCGTATGAACTTGAAGACCTGCAAGGACGGCCTCTGGGAGTTTTCCACGCAAAAGATTTGCGCTCCTGAGCGCGAGCGAAGAGTGGGTGTGGCCTACGTTGGGGGCGTCGGAAGGATCGGCAGCCGAAATCGCGCGACGGCGGAGATGATGCGCGCAAAGGTTGCAGCATTCCGGATGGCGTCATTCGCACCTTTGCGTTGGTGTTGCATCGGCTAATTAGCGGCCGCGGTTTCTGGCAACGGTGGCATACATTTATCTCCTCAACCAGTTACCAGCGCCACCTTGTGGTACCGGCAAGTGACAGTGCCAGCTGTTGCGGCAGCAGGGCATGGTTGCTTGACATAGGAGTATGAGAAGGCTGCGAATTGGAAATAATAAACGGATGCAAAAAGGATTGGTAGTTGTAAGGCGGTACAGGTAATGGGGCCGACACGGGAATCGACATTTTGCTGAAGATATTGGAAGAGTGCGGTTGTGCAGCGGGACTCGGCTTTCGTTTTTTTTTTTGGTTCGGTTAACCTACAAATTTGGTAAGAGAACAAGGTGTGTAGACCCAGCAGCAGATGGTTGGCCGCTGGGTCTCTGGATGAACTCCGGTCTTATAAACTGTCCACGGATTTTGTGGCCACTATCACCTACTACATCGTCTCGCCGACCACTACTTCAACACATGTTGAGGCTGCATTGACCGTCCGCATCATCGCATCGTCTCCAGCAGTGACCCATCAATCATCATCGTCAGCGGCAGCCCATAAGCGGCACTGGATAGTGCAATCCCACCGACCAGCAGATGCGACTGCAGCGTTGTCGTTGAAGGCGTTATGAAGGGGAGTAACGACTGAGTGAGTCCTTTATATATATATATATATACGCCCTATGTAAAATGCAAACAATTCTTTTATTATAAATTTTAGTTTTAAAGGAACAACACTTTTTATCCGCACCACAATTGACGACGGCCAGTCTAACTCCTCTACTCTGCTACGGCTCCCTCTAAAAGTGGGTCACGACGGGGCAAGAACTCAGCTGCTGAGGCAGCGCAGCGTTGGCGCCGCTAGCACCAAGGGGCTGGAAAGGACTCACTCAGTCGTTACTCCCCTTCATAACGCCTTCAACGACGAGGCTGCAGTCGCATATATATATAAGTTAACACGACGACTCAGCAACAAAGAAGTTGCCCAATCGACACAGCAGAGCTGGCGGATATTGCACACCGAAAACCGTCGTGGCAGAGTGCAACGCTCCGTGATGCAACCAGCTGATATGAGACACCATGCACGAGGCGCGGTGTCAGCATGTTTGAGGTACAGGGCTAGCTTTAGTTATAAGAAATAATGTTCTTAGCAGTTAGTTGACTTTTGGATATTAAACCGTTCGGAATACACGAGCTCTTGTGTTTTATTAGTGCAACAGTGCACTGTGTTAATTGAATGATAACTCCTTAGTCGGTCGAGCATAATAATCACCAACGTCAGGAACTTCTTAATTGGCGCCCAACGTGAAAAAACCTAAGTCACTCAAATTGCGGCAGCATTAAACGTCACCATCGACGGCAGCGGCAAAAGAAAAAAATTAAATAATAAATTAATTTGATAAAACTGTTACAACAACAGCAACTGAAGCAGCATACATCGTCAACACCGACGGCAGCATCAAAAAAAAGTTAAATAATAAAGTGTTTAAATAAAATTTGTGGTAACAACAATAACTGAAGCAACATACAGCGTCAACACCGACGGCAGCATCAGAAAAAAAAGTTAAATAATAAAGTGTTTAAATAAAATTTGTTGTAACAACAATAACTGAAGCAGCATACAGCGTCAACACCGACGGCAGCGACAGACAAAATTGTTTTGGCAACAACAAAACACAACGTCACCACTGACGGCAGCAACGGAATAGAAGGAAAATTCCACCGGCAACAACAACAATAGCAACAGAAGCGGCAACGGCAACACCGACGGCGGCGGCAACACTAGAATTAAATCTAGATAAGAGCATGTAAGTAGATCGCTCATTGACAATTTACACTCAAAAAAATAAATACAAAAAATATTGCAAATTTTTTTTTTTTACAAAAAAATCAATTCAAATTTAAAGAGGAATATAATAAAATTTGTTACAAAGTTAAAATACCAATCTTTGTGTAGTGACAGAACTTATGTGTGATAGCGACATAGAAGATTTGCTGGACAAATTTAAAAAACTTGATAGTAAAGTCCGTGTAAAAAACCAAAACGAAAAAGTGTTAGGTATGGCTATGTCTTCAGAGCAGCTACAGACAGTAATAGAAGCGGCAGTCAACAATGCACTTGCCGCTCAGAAAAGAAGTTTTGAGGCGCAGATACAAGATCTGAACCAACGTTTAGGCAGTGTCTGTGTTGGGGCTCCAGAGGTAGAAAAGTACAAGGACGCGGAAATTCGTGCAATGATTAAGTGCAGTGAAACATTAGACATTGTGAAATCTTTGCCGGACTTCGCTTATAAAACTTACGAAAAGTATGACGGTAGTTCAACGCACTACCAGGCTTTAGGTATTATGAGGAACAAGATCGAGGGACTAGCGGACATGGTGCTAGCATCATTCGACACGCCCCTGAATTTTAAGGCGATTATAAATCGTCTCGACTTTACGTATGCGGACAAACGCCCCATATATTTAATAGAGCAAGAAATGTCAACACTCCAACAGGGAAATTTGACACTCCTACAGTACTACGACGAAGTAGAAAAGAAACTCACCTTATTAACAAATAAAACGATCATGACTTACGACAACACCATAGCTGTCGCACTCAATGAAAAGTATAGGATGGAGGCTTTACGAGTGTTCATTTCAGGAACTAAGAAATCATTGAGCAACGTCCTGTTTTCGGCAGGACCAAAAGATCTTCCTTCCGCTTTGGCTCTGGCCCAAGAGG